AGGGAGGGAGAGAGAGAGAGAGAGAGAGAGAGGGAGAGAGAGAGAGAGAGAGAGAGGAGAGAGAAGAGAGAAGAGAAGAGAGGGGAGAGAGAGAGAGGGAGGAGAAAGAGAGAGGAGGAGGGAGGGAGGAGAGAGAGAGAAAGAGAGAGGGAGAGGAAGGGAGAGAGAGGAGAGAGAGAGAGAGAGAGAGAGAAGAGAGAGAGAGAGAGGGAGAGAGAGAGGAGAGAGAGAGAGAGAGAGAGAGAGAGAGAGAGAGAGAGAGAGAGGAGGAGAGAGGAGAGAGAGAGAGAGAGAGAGAGAAAGGGGGAGAGAGAGGGATACACCAAAATCACAATGCATGCTGGCCCTCATGTCCAACTCACTTTCGTCACATTTGAGGCTCCTAGGCCATGACCCGCGGGCCAATAAGGTTAAACAAGGTCGAACTCCAGGTTGGTGGTCAAAGTGCGTTCCGACCTCCTCACGCAACCGTCTTGAGGCCGAGATACCTATTCTGAGCACAAAAAAAACTCTCAGAGGTGCATCGCTTCGTCTAAAAATCCCTTATTGCATCATAATGAGCGATTCCCAAGAAATTGCCTCGCTGACAGCCAAGGTCTGGTTTGACCTGTTATACCTCAGCAAACGTGCAGACCGCATCTAATGTTTTGCACACAAAAATCCGCTATTCAGTTGCCTACAGCCATGAAAAGTTTGACGCCGCCACGTAGCACCACTCGGAAATTATTATGAAGAGCCTTCGTGAGTCAAATCGACCCTCTCCACCCGAGCTCGCATTAGCCCTATGGCGAAGCATGGAAGGAGCCGACTCTGAGGCACCCATGGCAATACTTTCTGATCCAAGGCATTACTTTATGATTTGCTCCTACATCAATGGGTCAAGTAGACATGGGGAGGTGCGGGTTATGAGCGTCGTGATCCACCAACGTAAGTGCATCCACTGAGGGAAGAAAAACATGTTCCGAAACATTCCTTAAATGGGATTGTTGTCCGTACATCTAGGTTTATTTGTACAATGGATGTTTTCCACGTTGTTCTATTGAAAAACACTAATTTTCAGGCCAGGTAAAACTGTTCCCTTCAGATTTAAGTTCGGCTCAATCTCATTTACACCATTCCAATGACAGCTGACAGAAGTTGAGACATTCCTATGAAAAAAAAGCACTAAGGTGGGCGTGAACCCTGTTTTTAGCACCGATGTGTGCAAACAAATCAACATTGTGCGTTTTTTTCATGTTCCGGCTGCGAAAGGCCCTCATTATGCAGCCGCTGTGCAGATAGATGCTTTGGCTTTGTTTTACATTTGTGTTTTTAATGAACACCTTCATGAATAACGTCTGTACGCGGTATTGGAACTGCATTAGCTTAGAAGGAGGGTTGGACACAACTTCCAAAGATCCGGGTTGGAATCCCTGATGAGGTTTACATTTTCAGTGTCTGGCAGATGAACAATATCATCTAACTGCAAGTCGGCTGCATAATACTGTCCTTCACAGCCGGAGCATGGATAAAAAAACAGCAAACTCTCCATAAAATGAGCGGCTATAAAGCCAAATCTCCATAAAACGAATTGCGTTTTTCCTATTTCCACGTCATCAGCCATTCAGTGGTTAAGTATAGCCTGGTCCCAATGGCGAAATCGGGGAGGCAGCTGTGGTTATTGATTCTCCGTAAGGTGTTACAATTTGTCTCTAGTCTTCAGATACAAATAACACGTGTATCTAATCTAGCACATGCATAGATTGATCAAACTCCTTCTCGTCAGTACTGAACCGTGATCTTTCCAGGTTCCTATATCCGCCGTTATCCAGAGTACTCACTCTTGGACCCAGGGGCCCAAGGCCTTTCTTCTTTGTCAGTGATGGCACTTGTAACATTAATGGCCAGGGAACATTAATGGCCAGGATTCTCTTAAGGAAGGGACGGAGCCTGACGAGAGCACATCACGCCAATTTTGAGCTCTCTGTCCAGAGCCGTCTATGGTGACATATAAAGAATGCGGGCCTTGGTAGGGAGGCCCCAGACCCCAGGCCCTGGCGATGGATAATAAGTGAATATGCATGTGGTGGATATGGTAGTGTATAACGGATCATAGAAAATCTGGTTCAACACCTTGTGAGGCCCTGGTCATTCTGTGAGGGCTTAGTTTGTTACGGTCGCCCAATTATTTGTCACACGTACTGATCGTGTCCGCCCCCGCTGACTGGTACCATTACTGCTGTCCCTTGAGCTGTATTCGCATTTACACAGAAGCATGGATTCAAAACATATTTATTGGATTGTCATTGTTAGAGACCTCAAGTGCGTGTTTCATTGCTGACATTAGTCATAGCTTTGTCCGAGTTTTTTCTTGGACGTCTTTTTCGAAACCCGGAACAGCAAACACATTCGGCTTAAACGGGAGCAGTGTGCTTACTTCCTGTTTTCGGGATTTTTGGTTATTTTGCCTTTTTCACCGTGGAACGTTCACCAAGCTCCGTGTTCCTTTGGCGTGCCAAGGCTGACAACGTCCCCGCAGGTGAGCGGACTCTGCTGGTAGCAGCCTCGCCCCTTCCCGTTTGTAGAGTCGTTTAACCTGCTTCGGCAATGGTACTAACCGCTTTCCTCGTTCAAGTCACATGACTTACATTTGAAAATATTGTAGTCTATGAGGATGTCGGTTTTTTACTGCTCGCTTTTGACAAAATCTTTTCGAAACTTTACGCCATGGCATTATGGTAATAGTTTGCAAGCCTTCGCAATCGAAGAAACTTTCAAAGATTATCCCAAAACGGCATGGCGAAGGCCTGGGAAGTAGTTACATTACGTTCGCATGGTATGACAGTAGGTTATTCACATTAGACAGATGTACTTTGCCATTATCGCGAATTTCGCGCAAAATGCTGAGCCAATGGTTCACTTCAGTCATATGTGTAATGACATCGTACCCACGTATTAATTATGCAGCCACCGAACAGCCATGATGCGGATCACGGGTAAAGTCGACAGGTGGACACTGAAATTTAGGCCATGGCTTGCGACACGTGCGACATCCGGGCGCCGCTCCTTCACAGCCGGGGTGACGGGTGCGATGTTCTTTCAGTCCGGTCTCCCGGCGGCACCGGCGACGTTACTTTCTAATCTGGTGCCCGGGCGGTGCTGGCGACCTTACCTTTCAGTCCGGTCTCCGGGCGGCACTGGCGACCCAACCTTTCAGTCTGAGCTCCGGAAGCCAACGTCGAACTTAGCTTTCAGTCTGGGCGCAGGGGCGTCAGACTCAACCTCACCTTTAAGCCTGGGCGCGGGGGCGGCCCGAGCGTGCAGCGCCGCCGTCAGCAGGAGCCAAACCAGCGCTGCACCCGTCTCCATCTGATCGCGATCTTGCCGCAGCACGCGCAACCGGGGGCCAACAGGCGCGGCGGCGAGCGCCGGCGAGCGCGTGACGCGCAGTGGCGCACCGTGCTTTACCGCGGCGCGGCAAGGTGACCGCTCGGAGCGGACACACGCTGCTGCGTGGCTCGGGTGATGCATTTCGACCGCTGACGAATACGAGCGGACGTGCGAGCGGCCTGGAGTTCGTGACGAAGTGCCGGCGCCCAGTGATTCAGCTGGCGTTGGCGGTGGGAAATTCCAGTCACCGCCATGCGGCATTTTGATGCGACGCCTTCGTGACCGAAAAATGGGAACGTGCCTCATGCAAACCCAACGTCGCACGCCGTTTGGCAGAGCTGGTTGGCGCGGCGTGCTGGGCACGCCTCTGGCTGGGATGGATCTCCCGCCCAAACAGTCTGCAAGCTCCCAGATGAGGGCAGGATGTGATGGGTGGCTTCGTGGGGCGCGGCGCTCCCTCCCACGGCTGGTTTTGTAGCAAACATTTCCCTCCCTTCGGGCGGGCCCAGCTGTCTGTTGGGCCGCACGTGTGGGCACGAGCTCGCGGGAACATCGCGTCAGCTGGCACGTAAATATGTGGGAGTCTGTGAATGCATCTTCGAGTGAGGCCGTGTCTTCAGGATCACTTCCAAGCAGCATCGGCAGTGACGCGTTGACGTTGAGCGGTCACTTTCTTAACTCAGTTGGG